GGCGCCGTGGGGGACCCGAGAGGCAAACCGGTCCTGTCACTGCCCCGGGAGACGCCGGAGGGACGCCCGCTCCACGCCGAGGGGCAGCGGCCGTCTCAGCCTCGGCCCCGAGCGCCAGACACCACCTCCTGCCCCACAGTTCCGTCCTCGGCGCCTCACCAGGTCGTAGTCCTCCTCATCATCGCACATGAAATCATCCTCCATGTCAGACATCTTGGCCGGGAGGGGGAGGGGAAGGGGAAATCGGAGTCAACCTCCTCCCACAATGCTCCGCGGCTCGGAGGCGTCGCTCCCGGCTTCTCCTCCTAGCCTTCCCATAGATCTTCCGGCAGCCAAGTTTCCCACCCGGAACCAATGCGCGAAGCTCCGATAGGTTTTGCTACGACGCTAAAAGGGAGTGCACCGCGCCGCTCTTCCTGCGAGACAGTCTGCGCCTTAGCAACTAAACATAGCAACAGCGAAGTCTGGGACTGCGGACGTCTTCGAAAGCCTTGCGCTCTTGTCCAGGCGCTGCCGAGGTTCTAGGGAGGGAACAGCCTCCTCCCGAGTGTGAGACTCCGGAGCCATCTCATTCGGGTGAATGAGACCAGATACCTTTAAACCGAGAAAAGGCAGACATGCCCGTCCTGTATGACAGGTAGTACTGTGTCCTCCGTCGGCGGCCGTGTGCACGTAGCGCGCACTCTGCGGTGTCGCGGTGTTCGCCTGGTGTTTGTCTTTGTAGTTGACAGCACGGCTCTGTGGATGGCTCAGATTAAGTGTGCACCAATCAGTCGAGGTGCCGTCAGCCTTATTCAGTTGCTTAACAAATTATAAACTGACCTTTACTGCCCTTGGGATCAAATTAAGATTGGCAGTTAACGATTTTTTAAAATAGGTATTATCGTTGCACAAAATCATTAGCAGAACTGTAAAGAAAGAAAAACTTCAAAGGAAGAGCTGCTTTTCACACAGGTAGTGTAAGGTTCCAGTTCTGTTCATTTACGTCCACAAATATTCTGTGGTTAATAGCATAGATACAATTTTGGGTTATTTTGCACCTAATGTACCAGCATAGATCAGTACATATAGGTATGCTCTTGACAATGATTATTTAATGGCTGCGTCCCAGTGCAACCTAATTTATTTATTTTTTTAATTTTTTGCAACCTAATTTGTTACTACATACTTAGAATGCTGGAAAGGAGTAGTTTTATCTCTTCCGAGGAAAAAGCCAAAGAAGAATCGCAGGACGTTTTGAGTAATTACTTTAATTGACCCTTACTTTGTTATGGTTCTCTTTTTTTTTTGGCGGAACTGGGGATTGAACTCAGGCCCTTGTGCTTGCCAGAGAGGCGTTTATTCTACTGAGCCATCTCCCTGGTACCTGTTATAGTTCTTTTTTTGTGGAACTGGGGTTTGAACTCAGGCTCTTGCTCTTGCCAGGGAAGCACTGCCCCCCCCGTTATAGTTCTTATGAGTTGTGTATATCACAATAATACAGTCTCATCCGCTATAGAATAACAAAAATAGTTTTCTTAATAGTTTCTTCCTGCCTGCATCTTATGTAGAGAAATTACTAGATGTAATTGAAAGATTAATATTGTAGACAAAGTGTGCACCTTTTAATTGTGTGCATATATATATATATATATATTTCCTGAATCAACTGAAAGGGTACAGATATATCACTCCTAATGCAGCTAATACGTATTCTGTAAAGCAGCTCTATGCGTCATAAAATCACCATTACAGACAAAAATAATAATGTCCTGATACGCAAAATTCCTCTATTAAACATAAACTTTTAGAACTGGAAGAACATTAATAATACCACTGTAGAGACTGAGGCTTCCCAAATCCCACACTAGAGATTCTGATTCAGTAGTTGTGGGGTGGAACTCTGTACTTGCAGCTTTAAAATAAACATCCCTGGAACTGGGGTGATTGACTATATGTCCCACTTTTTCTGGGAAAGAGCTGGTTTATTACTCTCAATCCAGCATAATAGCTGCACTTTCTGCTCGCAGAAGTTAGAACAATAAATCACAATGGCTACCAATAATTCATAAGTCTTGAAAAAAGCATATAGAATCTTAAGGTAGTTAAGAAGCTTATCTGGGGGCTGGTGAGATGGCTCAGTGGTCTAAAGCACCTACTTAGAACAAGCTTAGCAAAGCACAGGGACAGTGGTTCGATCCCCCAGCACCACATGCCAGCCAGCCCCGCCCCCTGGTGGGCTGAGCTGGCCACACACACACACACACACACACACACACATATGGAGCCTAGAAACTGGATGACTTTGGGGACAACCTGTCTCAAATTAAAAAAGAACTCTCAGGTATGTAGCTCAGTGTGGAGGTCTTGAGTTCAATCCCCATGAGCACACAAAGAGAAACAGAAGAAGGAGGAAGAAGAGAAGGAAGAGGAGGAGGAGTAGAAGACACTGTTTTGTTTTTGTTTTTCTTTTGAGACAGGGTCTCACTTTGTAGTTCAGGCTGTCCTGAACCCACTACATAGCCCAGGCAGGCTTCAAACTCTTGGGATCCTCCTGCCTCAGCCTCACAAGTGCTAAGATTACAGGTGTGCACCGCCAGACCTTGCAAAGTTGTTGTTGAAGTTTAATATAGGTTTGTTTTTATTCAAGATAGCTATTCTCAAAATATCTATTAACAGTATACATACTGTCCACATGTATAAAACTACATGCTGATTGATACTGAATTTATTTACATTATTTCCTACATTTCAATGTACTGTCTTGCTTATAAAATGAGAGAAAAGTATTCAAGTCGGTGACTAGAAACAGTAGGAAAATGTCAAACTAAATTGTGAGTATAATTGTTCCTTAACCACACCCAGCTTGGTTAAGCACAGTCTGAAAATTTGTTCAGAACAACTGAAAACAATCTTCACAGTGCTTAGAACACTAGCTAGGCACACAGATGTTACCGCATGTTTGCTGAGTAAATACACACGTCAGTGAAGTAATCTTTTTGTGCAGGAAATAGGTGTATATCTAAATGTTAGGCTTTTCAGCTGCGCAGAGACAGGAAAGATAAAGGAGGCCTTTCTAGACTTGGAAGACTCAGAGAGGATCCATGGCAGGAAGATGGGGGAATCGTTGGACCTTAGACAAAGGAAGGCAGAGACATTTATGGACTTTTCTAGGGATGGGGTTTGAGGGGCAGTTTCGGTTACAAGGAACTGACTGGGGTCTCCCCTGTGTGTGCGGGAAAGATATCTAGGACTGGGGTGGAGAAGAAGGGGGAGGTGGTCGCATAGGAAGATAAACTGTTGTTTTTTTTGATTCAGTCATGTTAGCTGATCACCATAACAATTAAGCAATTTATACTCGGGCTGGAACCTATCACTAACTACACACCAAAATATTTATGTTTGTGAAAGTCCATTCCAGTGTTACTTGTTTACATTGCCTGTTCTCAATACTTTAAGCAAGTAAAATATGCCTTTATCTATTCAGTAGTAAATAATTGAAAAAATTATCTGTGATATAGTGCTCTGTTAAAAGGTCTGATGGTTTAAAAATTATTTTAACATACAGAATTATTGAGATATAATTTATGAAACATATTAAAGGATATTAAGATACACAGTGATCGTCCTGCCTTAGCCTCCTAAGTGCTGGGATTACAGGCATGTGCCACCATGCCTGGCTAGTAATGTTAGTGTTTGTTTTGTTTGGTGTTTGGTGTTCTCTAGTAGTTTGAAAACAGGTTATTTTAAGAGCAATACTTCATGAAAGTTATAATGCATACATTTCAATACTGGAACAAGAATTGCTTATTTTTCCAGTAATTTGTTTTTAGACACACTCTTCTGAGGTTTTATGGAAGGTCATATATTCAGAAGTAGAATGACCTCTGGGTTAGGAGTCCAGAAGCCTAGGTTTTAAGTCCAGATCCACCTTATTCTTTTACTTTGGGCCAAGCATTTCAAAAGGGGATTTTAAAATACTTGCAGAATAATATGCCTTCCCATTTGCATCAGTGGTTACTCTGCAAGGGAAATGCATCTAAGAAATGCACTAGTGATTTGCCAGTAGTTTTCATTTAGTAAACACAATGTTTAATCGTCAAATAGTCACTCAATAAGTATTTTATGAATCAGTTTCCATAGTAATTGTATCTATTTAAAATCTTGTATAAAAGTTTATTTTGTGCTACTTATAAAGATACAATATTCTCAAAGCTTTAAAATTTGATTATTTTTCAATTCATGTGAAAAGATACATGAGAAGCATATCTGAATAAGAATGTTTTTCAGTATTTTTTTTTACATTTAGTATTAATTTATTATATATAGATTTTATTTTAAGGAGAATAAAAGAATAATAGATAAAATATTAGATGTGATACAGAATTTAAATGTTTTTCAGTATTTATTGGTGTTCTTAAAAATTTGAATTTCTTGGTTATATTCTTACCCTGTTCAAATGTATTTGTTAGAAGTCATAATGATGCCATCTTTTACCCAAGATGGAGCCATAATAATCACTATACAGAAATTTATCTGGGTTTTGAAAAAGCGGATGATTAGGAGAGAAATACTAGTGAGTCTGTTAGTCAGCTTTCCTTTACTGTAATAAAATACCTGAGTCAACTTACAAAGATGAAAGGTTTATTTTGGATCCTGGTTTCAGAGTTCATGGTCAGTTGGCTGTATTGTTTGGGTCTGCAGAGGGGCAAAGCATTCAGAGAGAGAATACATGGCCAAGCATAGGTGCTCATCTTGTGGTAATGGGAGCACAGAGAGAGGTGGAGAGATGCGTAGGTCCTAACAGCCCCTTCAGGGCATGACCCTAAGAGTCTAATAGCACCACATGATAGTGACCTCTCCTTTGATACCTGGCCTTTAAGGAACATATGAGATCCAGACCATAGAGTGAGAAAGCAGTCTCGAGGCCACCAGAGCTTTGCCTCCATGGTAGTAATGACTCAAACGGTGCTAAGAGGCTGCCACCCTTTGGCTCTATGCTGGTATTTTGGACTTTATCTTCTACTTCTGCTTCCCCCATGTTATGGTTTTTATCTATCCAGATGTCCCACCAAAACTTCATGCATTGGTAGGTGGGGCTTGGGCAAGAGTGGATCATGGGTAAGTGTCAGGGGATTAGTCCACTGATGGGTGCACAGCTGGGTGAGATGTTGGGAGGTGAAGCCTGGTGGGAAGAGGTGGGTCTAGCGTGGGTGGGGCTTGAAAGGGTGTTGAGCCTTCACCCTTGATCCCCAGCTGCTTCCTGCCTGCCATGCCGTGGACTGCTTCTGCTCTGCCATGTCCCTCTGCCGTGCTGCCGTGTCTTGGACCCAGATAACTGGACTAAAACCCCTGCAAACCATGAGCCAAAATAAACCTCTGCCCTTTTAACTTGTGGGTGTCAGATATTTTATCCCAGCAGCGGAGAAAGTAAGATACCTCCACTCCTGACATATGTGTTAAGAAGAATAATCAACCGTGAGGTAGCAACTTCTTGACTCTTTCTAAGTTACATTACTCCCCTCCTGTGTTTGACGTTGCTCTCATGTAGACATACGTGCAGTGTGTTCCCCAAAGGCTCCTAGGTTGAAACCTTCAAGTGGTGGGCCTCGTGGGAGTTAACTAGGTCACTGGGGGGTTTGTGCTGGTGTCTTAGGGTCACTGCTCAGGAAAACTGGTTGGCATAAAAGAGGGAACCTGACCCGGCTCCCTGTCTTGTCTGCTGATCTCTTCCACACTGGCCCTCCCAGTGTGCTGGCATCTGCCCCAGGCCCCACCGAAGGCCTCTGCTGATCTCTTCCACACTGGTCCTCCCAGTGTGCTGGCATTTGCCCAGGCCCCACTGAAGGCCAGATGGACCAGGCTGCCCAGGCCCCACTGAAGGCCAGATAGACCAGGCTGCCTCAAGGGCTGTGACCTAAATAAACCTCCTTTCAGTATAAGTAGACATCCAACCAAATAGTGACTGCTAATAGCCACCTAAGACGGGCTAACACGAGCCAGTCGGCCCAGATTTCCTCAGTTGGAGACCTGTCATGGGTATTTTGCTTGCTGTCTTCGCTTGTGTTTAATCTTAATATTCTGAGTTACAAGGTGTACTAGACTGAGTTAATAAGCCTGAATCGTAATTTGAGTTTTGGGGCTGTGATCAGTGTGACCCTTTCCTTCATTCAGTTTATCTTGCCTGTTTCTTGAAACCAACCCCCCAGGCTGTTCTGGGTGCTGCGAACACAGGGAAGGTGCTTGCTAGTCAGGCAGGGACCTTGATGACAGCGGTGAGTGGACAGCAAGCGCAGGTGGAAGGAGCTATGCCGGGCAGCTGTGCTGATCCTGAGACCAGAGCAGCCCTGTGAAAGGCAGAGTTGGGGACGGGGGAGGCAGGACCCCTGCAGGCCGAAAGACAGGTTTTCTTCTTGTTATCATCAACCGAGTTATAGAAGGCCCACCAACGCCTAGGTTCCAGAGATCATTGCAGATAAGTGCACTTCAAGGGCTGGGTCCATTTCCTGCTGTCTGGGAAATAATCCACAGGAGCAGAAGCCAGAGCTAAACATTTCAGTGTAGTTTTGAGAGTAGCTGCTAGACATTAAAGAAAAAACAAAATCCAAAGCCTAATTTTAAAAGAAGCCCGCGGAGGGCTGGCGATGTGGTTCAGCGGTATGGCGGTTACCTTCCTGGGTCCACACACAAACAAAAGCGCAGAGATAGCTCAGAGGGATGAGGCGCGGCAGATCTGCAGGTGACAGCGGAGCGAGCCCGCCGCGGCCCCAGGGATCCGGGCGCAGGGCCTCCGGGCGGGTGGAGGAGCCGGGGCGGGGCGGCTGCGTGGCCACCTCAGCGGGGCAGGGCTGCAGGATTTCCGCAGAGCTGAGTCGCAGTCGCCGGAAGAGCTGCCGCGTGATCGCCCAGAGCCCGGTGTCCTGGCCGGTGAAGGAGGATCCGGGCGCTATGGCAGCGGAGGGCCCGGCCACGCGTCCGGTCCAGGTGGCAGAACATCCCAGGTGGGGTACAGCAGGTGGCACGCGTGGGGCCTCCCGGAGGGCCCCGGGGCACAGCTTTTGTCCCCAGGTAGCAGGCAGACCTTGAATCTGGGGCTCAGTCCTGTACTGCTTGGCTGGCTTGCAGTTCTGTGCCTTTCCTGCGCAAGGCGGTGCTTTCTTTCCACCCGGGATCAGGAATCACTCCCAAATCAACCTGGAAAGCCACCTCATCTCGCGCAGTTGAAACTGCCCTTGAAAGCCTCCAGAATATTCATAGGAAGGAAACTTCTTGGGCTTCTGCATCTTTAAAAAAAAAAAAAAAAAAAGAATCTGGGTATCTCTAAACTGTCACTCAGAATTAGTTTGTTGCTGATACCCAGCTGCAGAATAATTGACAAATTGGAGATGGTTAGTGGAGGATCTTTAAATATCACAACACTCTAAAAATTCTTTGTGCTGGTCTATTGGACCAAAGTCTTCTTGAATGTGGTCTTGCACTTGCCACATTAGCCCAGGGTTTTCTGAGCTTGGCGGCTTTCCCTCTTCTTTGTTTTAAAATGTTTTCTTTTCTTTCTTTTCCCCCTCTTCTATGGAGTCTGTGCTCTCTGTACTTCCTGGTTTGTTGCAATTATGTGTCAATTGAGGGTATTATACATCAAC